CCCCCGAATCTCAATGTCCTCACAGTTTGAGCAGGGCAAACTGGCCACAACCGTGAGTTGGAGCTTATTTTAAGCGTTCAAACCGCAGCTTGCGGTGCCCTCCTGGGCCTTCTGCCCTTCCTGGAAATGCTACACGGGCAAAGCGGGTCACCTCAGGCCTGGGAGAGGGGGATAAAGTGCTTCTCTGTGCTCAGATAAACTTGCTGAGAAAGAAATCTGCAAAACCTTCCTGCTGCCTCGTCTGAGGTGAGCCACCACACGGCTCCCTGGGCTTGGTGAACTGAAAAAGACTTAAATTGTGAAGAGTGCGGGATTGAAAGCTTTCAGCTGTGCCAATTGAAGCAGGTTTTATGTTGTTGAAATCTCTTGGTTAGGAGTGAAGAGTGAATAGCCTCCACTGACTGGGAGGAAACGTGAGGAGGGATTAAGAAGAGCAGAGTGACTTGCCTCACTTGCCTCACTTTACAGGTTTTCATATTAACTTCGACTATTGGGACACTTTTGGTGCTGGTTGGGTGAAGCTTCGCTTCAAACATTTACTTTTATGGATGTGTGATTTCACACATGGGGAAAGTGGAGGGTCCCTTCTTTTCTGGTGATTTTAGCGAACTTGTGTAACGCTTCTTGGAGCAGGTTCCCGTGGGGATGGAAGCGCTGAGCTGGCATTGCATGGGAGTTCAAACCACCTCAAGAAACCTCCCACCTACTTCCAAAAATAAATCTTTCATGTACCTGAGACACAGAAATTGAGACACTCTGTAAATACAAAGCCACGTGCGGTGTTCGGAGCGAAGCCTTCCAGTCGTGAGTGAAATGCAGGCGGCGGGGAGGGGGTAGTAGCAGCCTGGCTCGGCAGCTGTCCTCCGCTCCCAAACCTGCTCGAAACTCCCGTGGCTTTTTGGGGAGCTCGCTCATGGTTAGGTTTATACTCAGTCTTGCCGTGCCAGAACGCGCTGGCTGACGCCGAGCCTGGTGAACAGCCTGGGCCAGAACCGTGCAGCGGGACCCGCCGTTTTCACCGGCCTTTGTGCAGAGCCTGGCTGTAGTCGACCAAGTGGTGCAACAAAAACGCATCCAAGAGCTGTGGCAGGCCCAGCTCGTAAATCACCGTTCGCAATATTTTCAGTGACTTTATTTCTGAAGCTTTTTCACTGTTGAGATGCCAGTAGTTGCAACAGAGCCCTTCCCAGGAGAGCGGGGCTGGAAGTCTGGCTCTGGAGATGACATTCCCTTCGCCATCTTCCAGCCTCTTCTCTTCTGGGTCGAGCTGTTGGCCGAACTGGGGTTGGGCTCGCAGATTTCTATTCAGTGACAAACGAGGACCCGCAGTTTCTCTGCGCTGCCTCTGCTTATCTCTTCTGGCCCTAGTTAGGTTTAGCACATGTTAAAGGCAAGCCGGGGCTGCTTCTGGAGAGGGCTGGAACGGCGACTGACCGAGGATATTGCTTGTTGCGGCAGGGACGCTGCGAAACCCGCCCTGCCCTCTGAGAAAGATGGGCTGGGACTTTGGGTGGCACATCTGTTTTTTGAAGAAGCCACGTTCGATAGGGAAATGACCGCTGGTCCTGTAGCTCCCAACACTGGTTGTTTCGAAGGAACGTGTTCGTTGCCTCTTTTGTTATTTTGGAGAAGTTGGAAAACTTTGTTCTGGCCACTTTGGCCTTCGGTGTGTTGGGTCAGGGCTGAGCCTCCTGGTCCCTGGGGGCTGCTAGTCGCTGCTTTGAAGAGCTGGTGGGCAGCTTTCCTGGTGACGGTGGTTTTCAGTTGCGCATCTGGGGTTTGGGAGGCTGGGACGCACCAGGCTTGCTTAGAGCTGGTCGACTCCCTCAGCTGGGTCTTTGCCTCGGGTCGCCTCAGCGTAGTGTTGCTACACGGCCCGCGTTTGGATCGGGGGAAAACGGGGGGTTGGAAGGAAGGGTGAGTGTCCTCGAAACTCTGACAGGTGAAAAACCAAGACCCCTTCCCACCCTGCCCGCCTGCCCCGTGCTCTCGCTGTTCTTGGGGTGAGGCTGTGGTAGAGAGGCCGAGGGTGGCGTGAAAGAGAACGTAACCGTGTGGATGCTCCCCCTCAGTACGCAGAACAAAATATTACCGACTCGCCTCGCCAGATGTCAAGATATTTTGTGTTCTTCCACGTGTGAAAGGGCACGTTGTACCACGAGAGGCAAACGTTTCCGAGTGGGAAGCTGAAGCCCGAGGGAAAGGGGTTTCATCACGCGACGGTGAGATGCCGGCCCGCGCGGCAGGCTCCTTGGAAAGAGCAGAGCCTCGGCTGCGGCCTTTAAAAACAAACAAAGACGCCCTCCCTGCCCCCAGCCCTCTTTAAAGGTTGATCTGCAGAGGAACAGCGCAGTGTCACTTCCTTCCCCTGCCCGAAAGCGGACATTCCTCTCTCCTGAATAAAGTGATTATCTGCTGTGCTCCAGAAACGATGTTTCTGCTCAGACCGCGGCATTTAAACACGTGTGTCAAAAAGCCACAGGCTCCTGGGGAAAAGGAATAAACCTTCTGACCCGGTTTACTTGCACTCGGGGCCACGTTGCACTAAACAAAGACCTTTGATATCGGCCCTTTCTGCACCCTGGGACGTCACTTAGAAGTGAGGGAAGGGGCTCAGAGGTGTCCAAGTGACCTGAAATCGGACGGAGAGGCGGTGGGGAAGGTCTGTGGTCCCGGTGTGGAGGACGGAGGGGGAGGAAGGCCAACCTCCGCTTCTTTTCGGTGCATCGCATCAGCTGACTTGACTTTATCGCTCAGGGACCCGTTTCCCGATGGAGACCGTATGGATTCCCATACGCCACCCTCAGACAGCCTTTCACCAGTCTCTTTCCATACCTGGTTCTTTGTCCTCAACTGGTTTTTTTGAAACTTCAGAGCACTCCCCGTGTTGGTGTTGCTGTAGGTGGTGTTGTGGTTGGGTGTGCTCGCTCACGCTGTTGTTTGGGACTGTTGTGGGCCCCGTCAGCTGCCGAGCGTTCGGCTGGATGCTTGTTCCATATTTTATCACCCCTGGGAAACACTATGGGCTGGCGAGGCAGAAACTTCTTCAGCCATGCCAGCTGCTCGGAGAAAAACCAATCGAGCAGTAACACAGGCTAGCAGTATTACTGTGCTAAAAGAGACTTCTTTTTTCTTTAATTTTCTTTAAGAAATACCAGAAGTTTTGGAACATGTTTTGTGAGAGCTGGAGCAGTCGCTGCGAGCCGGCCGCACCACGGCGGTGGCTGGGCTGTTGCACAGCGCTGCTCGTAGCTGCAAGCGAACCACCGTCCAGCTCGGGCAGTGCTGCTGAGATTAAACTGCTCTTGGATGGGAATCTGGCTTCGGGAGCTGGGAAAATCCTTGTTAAACCCAGGCGTGTCTACGATGTTGAAAATGGGGTTTGTTTTTTTTTTTTTCCCTTTCTTTTCCTGATGTTGGGAATACAAAAGGCTGTTTTATGTTCGAGGGGAGAAATAAAAACAGACGCTCACGCGGAAGCTCGCTGTAGTATAGCTCTGCTTTACGGGTCGAGCCGTAGCCTCCTGGTCTCGGCGAAGCGAAGGTTTGACAGCCTCGCAGCTCAAGCCCCGGTTTGTTGCCATATTTGTTAAATCTGGCTTCAGTTCTTTGCTTTGTCCCGCGGGTTCTGGCAGCGTTTCAGGCACGGGCAGCTCTCTGCATCCGTGTACCGCTTTGCTGTGGTTTGGGAACCCCAGCGATCGGCTTTTTTTTTTTTTTTGTGAGCATTGGGGTGGTTTCTTTTTTGGTCCCTTCCACTTGGCTAAAGCAGAAGTGGTTTGTCTACCTTCGAGGTGCTCCGCGCAACTCGGTTTGCGAGGATTGTGGTGGAGATTTCTCTGGCTGGAGCAATGGTTTTGGTTGCAGTCTAGCGGCGGGTTAAAAACCCCCAGCCATTAAAATGAGCGCAGAGCTGAGTTATTTCAGGAACATGAAAAAAATGCCTTATAACTTGTTTTAAAAACAAGTGGTTCAGTGGGCACGTGGCTGCGTGGAGAGCAGAGGTCTGCGCTTTCTCTGTGGAAAAAAACCCATAACACCTAACGGGCTGGGGCCTCTGTCCGGCTTGTGAGGGCCCCGCGTTCAAGTTCTCCACTTGGATGCTTTTCTTTCCCGGCCACCACAAAGGGCTGCTATTCCCACCTCGGAGCGGACTTCTCGTTTTCTCGAATGTTGGGTCTGCGAGGAACCTCTCGAAGCAGCGCTGCAGTACGCGTGGCGCGGTCTCTGAAGCCTCGCCAGTTCCACGCTTCTCGAGAGCGTGACCCGCCTGTTTCATCTCTTGGAAACCATTGATGAGGTGTCCTGCTGCTTATGAAACTTGTCTGCATGTAAAACACAAGGGTTTTGGTTCCGAGCAAGACTGCTGTCGTGTGTGAGGGAGGTGTATCAGTTCTTCCCCGAAATGACGTTCTGTTGCTCTGGGTGCGGGGCCCGTTGCGGAGGAGTGTAGGCAGCGACGGGTGATCGCGCCTGCGGTGCCCGCAGGTCAGCACCGCTGCGGGGTAGGAATGACTGTCTGGAAGATCGTGGTTTTCCAGGTGCCTTAAAAGCGTCTTGCCTCGTTCTTTGTCTCTTAGGTTGGGAAAATAAACCCTCCTCAAGAGGCGGCGTTAACGTTATTGGGCAAACCCGCAGCTCCTCTCCTCCCCTTCTGCGTACCCGTGCAGCTGGCGGAGGAGGACGGGCTCAGCCCCTGCCCACGCCGACTCCTCCTCTGGCTGCGAAGGAGACCACATCTTTCAGCTCAGCGATCTGAGCGCTTGGGCTGATGGAAACAGCGTGTGCTCAAAGCTTGGAACGGACCCTCGGTGCAGGCCCTGGCGAGGCCGTGGATGAAAGGGCTGGGAACGCGCCCTGCACAAAATCTGTCCCGCTCAGATGCTGAAAGGCGGTCGCTTTTAGTGGGAGCTGTATGTGGAGGACACTCCACCCTCTGAACTCGAGGGGGATTTGACGTAATACTGGTCTATTTTCTTTTTCTACTCTCCTGTTTAGAAATGGCATCAGATGTTTCCTCGCTGGGTGCAGCCGTCAGCTCTGGGAACCCTGGCCCGGGTGCCCAAGCCGCGGGAGCCATCGTTCAGAGAGCCAGCAAGAGGCGTCCCGGGTGAGTGTGTGCTCTGTGCGCCTGGTGGCTTTCGTTTTGGGGGGGAGGCGTGTGTGTGAAGTGTGTTTTTTGAGGAAGCCTTGCTCTCTTCAAAGAGCGGTCAGCCCTGTGATGAGGAAACTTGTCTGCTTCTAAGCAAAGAAGAGTTTCCCGGTTCCTCCGGGTGCGTTGTATCCCGTCCTCTTGCTTTGGAGCGGTGTGCTTTGTGCCATTAGAGCCAGGTTCTGTATTACATATCAAAAGGGGATTAAACAGTCGAGTTGCATCTCGCAGGAGAAGAGGGTTGCTCACCAAGGATTGAGAGTGAAACGGGAGTGGCTGAAGCAGCGTTTCAGTTGCTGCAAGAGAGGTAGAGGAATGGAGAACGCGAACGTTGGGGCCTTCCTCAGACCTTTGCGACTGGGCCCTCTCTGGGAGAGGGTGGGGGGAAGCCACAGTGTGCTTGTGGGAGGCTTTTTGTTTGCTAAAAATGCCTTTGCAAATTAAAAGGATATTGAGTGGCTGCTCTTAAAATTCCTGGCACAAGAAATTTCCTTTTAATTTTCAAACTAATTAAAATCTGTCCCCGCCCCCCCCCCCCCCCTGCTCCCCCTCTTCCCTTCACCTCCAGGCGCTGATGCTCCCACTCCCCTGCAGCTCCTCCCACACCGTCTGCTACTTGTTCCTCGCACTTCATTGACAAACACGCACGCTGCGGTGCTGCAGTTTTCCATCCAGGAGGGGAGCGTGGTGCAAAGCTTTGCCTCTGCCCTCCCACCTACGCCTGTTAGAGATGTTTCTTTGACCCTGTTAGAGCAAACACAGTGACGTCGTCCGCTGTTGAGCTAAGAGCCCGAACTCCGCAGGTCACCGCGCTGAGCTTTTTGACTCTTGAAGTGTTTTGCCTTGTTGTTTTTATACAAATGCAACAGATCCAGGCTCGTGAGGTGGGAGCGAGGAGTGGTCGTGGCAGCCTGCTGGGCTCCACGTGGGAGAAGCAGGGCTTTTGGTGGAGGAGGTTGTGACGCAGTGGGTGCTCCAAGTGGGCTTTCTCTCTTTTGAACTGTTTCCTGGCTCCGTTTCCATTGACACGTGAAGGAAACTCCCTTCTAGACTTCGTGGGTTGTTTCACATCAGCCCCTGGGAGTGCTTGAATCTTCCTTTCAAGAGTCCTCTGCAGCCCCGTAGGGACAGGTGGAAAAGCAGCGTGTGAAGGAGAAACTGGTTGGTTAATAATTACCTTCTTGCTTATTTTTTTTTTTTTTTCAGGCTTGATTTTGATGATGATGGAGAAGGGAACAGTAAATTCCTCAGGTGAGGGAGAACGTGGCACCTTGCAGTTTCTGTTGTGTGGTCTAGGTGGGTCTGTGCGTTCCCCTCGGAGCAGGAGCGTGCTGCTCAGGTGGCTTGTCCTCTCCAGAGGGAAGTGGGGAGAGGCTGAAGGAGGCAGCACTCCCCTTCCTTAAACTCTTCCCTTTCTCCTAGTCAGCAGTATTCTTCCAGCCTTGCAGCTGATGCCAAAGCAAAGCTGCTGCGCACATGGGGCCTGTGAGCCCGGAGAAGGGGCCGTGGCTGGGAGAGGGTCCCGGTGCTCCTTTGGACGCAGCCTCCACCTCGAGCCTCCCTGCTGGGCCCCGCAGCGGGCTGAGGCCGGCTGAAGAAGCGAGCCTTGCGAGCCCTGGCGTTGCAGGCCTCCGTGGCGATGTCGCTGCGTTCGATCCCAGCGCCTCGAAAGATTCAACAGTTTCCATGAATGCTTCCAGCAGGCCGCTGGCTGTTCCAGCGCTGCGCTGGAGGAGCAGCGCTGCTGGCCAAGCCCCCCTCTCGATTGGGGAGAAAACCCAATCTTCTGCCAAATCGCTTCTCGGCCCAGCAGCGAGACGCTGAGCTTTTGTTAGTGCCTCAGACACGTGTTGCTGAATTCTCATCTGGTGTAAGGATGCTTCGGTTACAGAGACATCCTTAGTGCCGAGGAGCTGGCGAGGCTGCAAGTATCCTCTCGTGATCCATATGGAACACAGAAGAGTTGGAAGATCTTGTGTCGTTCGCTTGTAGCCTCGCTGCACGGGTTAGGGTTGGACAACTGTAATAGGTTGCAGTCTTTCAAAGATGGCTGCGGAGCGGCTTGGAGGTGATAAGTCCTGAGGAATGCAGGGTTTACCCCCGAGATCCTCTGGATGAGGGTCTTGATTTGGGCCAACTGCATCTCCAAAGCGCCGTTTAACCTGTTCCTTTGTGTGTGGTTGTGCTTGGATTGCTGAGCGTGGTGCCACTGTCCTTGATGTGAACGTGAGGTGGGAAACAACATCAAGGTGATAAAAATAAACTGTAGTTGAGTGAAGAGCGTGGTTCTGGATTGCACGTGTGCAGCGGAGTTTGCCTTTTTAACACCAGCCCTTGTTGAACCTTGTTCTTCTCTCGGTGCCTTTGGGGAAGAAGTAAGTGTAACCGCTCTAAGAACTCTTCTTCTCCCCCTTCTAGATGTGATGATGACCCCATGCCAAACGATAAAGAGAGATTTGCCAGGTAAGAACCTGCTGTGATGCAGTTTTTGAAGCTTTTGGTGCCAAACAACCCTCATGTAAGAGGGGTCCTGCAGCACCCTTCCGTAACCAGCCGTTAGGTTTTCTCTCTCTGAAGGAAGGTGCGCCAAAGGAGCCAGACGTTTTCCTTGGTGGCTTTTTGGACCAGTTCGTTATGAGTTTGGTGAAATTACCTTCTTCTTTTTCAACGTTTCTTTCAGCTGTTGCCTTGGACTCTCGTTCTTTTCTCCTGCTCAAGAAACTTGCAGAGATGAGTTTCATGCTTAGTTCAAGTTTTGCTTGAACAGGGTTTCCCGGCAAATGTTGTGTTTTGGGGGGCGCTAGGCAGAAGCTTTCTCTATGACGGGGGATTTTCTGGAGATCAGAGGGCGCAGTAACATCATAGGCAATAGTTTGACTCTGTTTACCCGTTGGTGTCTGAACGTAGCTCTGTACCATCTAGTGCTGGGACTGACCTCATGGTATTTTTACAGCCCCTGGAACTCGATTTAAATGTTTCATGGGTTTATTTTGTGTTGATGTCTGATGTTTTTGTCAAAGTGAGGTGCTTTTGTGGGCATTCCACAGTGCTGTAAATTCCAGGGTGTCCCCTCAGCACCAAGGCACCTCATGCCATGTCTTGCCACGAGATGAAATGAGTAAATACAGGCTAATGGCCAAGATACTGTGCTTAGTGACTTGTCTTAAGGAGGGATCTGCCTTCAGAAATTCCTGAAATAGGAGTTAAAATTCAAGTGATTGAGGACACTGGGGAAAGGACCGCCCAGCGTGTTGTGTCAAGGAGCCTGAGGGTTAGCAGGGCAGATCCCATCCCAGGGTGAGCCGGGGATGGTGGTGGGTGCAGGGGCCTTTCCCTGTGAGTTCACGTGCTGACACTGGGGGTCTAGAAACGTGCAAAGTGTCTGTTCTGCGATGGTTCAGCCAGAGCTAGAAACCTGTGTCGGAGTCTCGATGCAGAGTGGCCAACAAAAAAATATCGCAAAGCCGAAATTTCAGGTCACGGTCGCGCTGTTACCTGCCACGGGGCCAGCAGGGGCTTCTAAGCTGTGGTCCTCCAGCCTTTTGAGGGGTTTAACTCGCTCCGAAGTCAAGCAGACTAGAAGTGCGTTTGCCAGCCCCCCTCGGGTAACTTTGTTCCCCGGTGTTAAGTCGTGAGCTCTGGGAACTTCAGGTATAGTAGACCCTAATGAGACATTTCAGTGCTGTGGTAACGCCAGACACCAGAAAAGCGGGTGCTGTGGGCGAGCTTGCGGTGCTGAGCAGCCTCACGGCCCTTCAGGTTCAAAGTTCTGCCGCCTGCCTGGGCGGTGCCGCAGCTGGAGCGGGGTCTTGGCTCCTCGTGACCCCTGTAGCGCCGTGGCCTGTGGTCACCCTGGTTAATAGCCACGTGGCAGGCGAGGAAGGAATGAACAAAGCAGCCAAAGGACTGAATGGCACCCCTGGACGGCGAAGGCCCAGAGCCCCTCTCTGGTGGGGCGTCAGCAGGGCTTTAACGTAGAGATCCTCCCTCCTCCGGTGAGGTGAGGCACAACAGAGCACGGAGGCTGCTTTTTTTTTAAAGACTGCACTAAAACCTGGTGGAAGTGGCGGGGTACCACGGCTGGCTGATGCTTAAAAACCCCTCCTATGCTCCCCAAATCTGCAGTGCCTGTTGTAGGCGCTCAGCCTCTGAGACTGCCCGCCTGCCTCACCGAACACGTGTGGTACCTTCCCCTTTCCTGGCGGTACTTTTTGGGCGTTATTTGTTTTCCAAGGCCAGCCAGACCTCAAGGAGCAAAACTTACCGGCAGCCTCTGTAAAACAAGGTTTGCAGATTCCTCTTCTCTGAAGGCTGGAAGCGCCGGCGGGTCGGTGGGGGCGTCTGCGTGCCCCTCTGGAGGTGCTGCACGCGACGTCTGTGCCGTTGGTCGGGCAGCCCTCTCGGCTGGGTCGTCCTGAGCGGTGTTTGTGTAGCAGCGTTACGAAAACGCGTGGTCTAGCTGTGACTCCTGCGCTGTTTGTGGGGTTTGGGGTGGTTTTAATCTGCTTTTCTGATTTGTTAATACTATCAAAGAGGCTATTGATTTCTGTTCTTCTTTTTTTTTTTTTTTTCCCCTTAAAGAAAGAGTAGTTTAATCCGGCTGGGACCCTAATTCCCAGCTCTGCCATTAACGGTCTAATCTTGCGCAGAACAATCTGCCCCCAGGCTGTGTAACGCAGGGCTCCCCCTTGCCTGTTCGCAGCCTCGGTAAGCGACTTCCAACTTGAGCCTGGTGTGGACGGCAGGCGCCCGTGTGGTGTGTAATGCTGCAAACTAATGACTGCTTTGTTTTATGGAACTGCTCCTCTGCAAAACAGACGTGTCTGTAGGCTGGGTTTCCTAGTACATCTTCCCATTTTTCATTTCTTTAAACTTTTTCCATTTTAGCTTAGATCGCTGATTTTATTTTTAGGTCTGATGATGAGCAGAGTTCAGCGGATAAGGAGAGACTTGCCAGGTAGGAGAATGGAGATTTCAAGCATGGACAAGCAGAGTATTTCCTTTCCTTAATGTTTCTCTAGGCATCCCTTCTCTTT